AACCTCTACTTGGTCTATGGTCGCCTCAGAAAACAGGACCATATCATCTGCAAAGCATAAATGGGACAACACCGGGCCTGAATGTGCCAATCGGATCCCTTTCCACGCGCCGCTAGCCACCTCAGCCAAGATAATCTGGCAAAGTTTTTCCAAGCAAAGAACGAACAAAGCCGGGGACATCGCATCCCCTTGCCTGACTCCCCGTCCTGGTTTGAATTGCTCCATGCGTGCTCTATTCCAGATAATTGACATAGTAGGTGTGCTGATGCACTCCATGATGACCCGTACCCACTGCTCCGCAAACCATGCATCGATAAGAGTCATTTATAAACTTCCAGGAAAGCATATCATAGGCCTTTTCCAGGTCGATTTTGATGGCCATCATGCCCTTCTTCCCCGTCTTTGACCTCATGGTATACATTACTTCCTGGTACACAATCACATTGTCCGTGATTTGCCTCCCTGGAACAAAGGAGCTCTGGCAAGGTCCTACGAGCCTTGGAAGAACAAATTTGAATCGGTTAGTAATAGTCTTAGTTATCAGCTTATAGGAAACGTTACACAAAACTTATAGGCCTGAATTGTTTTATTGTCTCAGGTATATGGACTTTGGGAATAAGCACTAGCAAGGTCTCATTCATTGTGTCGGGGATTTTGCCCATTTCCACTACAGTGTTCACCATGTTAAAGACGTCGTCCCCCACTATGTCTCACATTCGCTGATAGAAGGCCGAATGAAGCCCGTCTGGCCCTGGCAGCTTCATCGGGTTCATGTCGAACGTGGCTGCCTTGACCTCATCCTTCGTAACCTATGTGTTAAACTGTTGCCAAGCTTCAGGCAGGACGGTGGGGAAAAGTCCCCTTGGCGCATCTGCAAGTTCTCTGTTGCATCGTTCGTGAACAAACTTTTATAGAAATCCTGGACATGTTGCTGTAGGCGATACTCTTCGAAAATCCAATTACCAGAACTCATCTTTAGACCCCTAATTTTGTTGCGGGCTTGACGGACCATCGTTACCGCGTGGTAAAATTTGGTGTTTCTGTCCCCCGAAACAATCCAGTCCTCCCGTGATCGTTGGAACCACATTAGTTCTTCCTGATAGAGTACGTCTTCAAGGTCGGCCTTTAACTTCTTTTTAAGAGTCCATAATCCTCTATTGACGGAGTCTGGTATGATTCGTTGAATCCCCCCAATTCTGGCTAGTAAAATTCGCTTCCTTTCCGCTATGTTCCCGAACACTTCCTTGTTCCAAGTAGCAAGGTCCGCCTGGACAGATTTGATGTTATTGGGCATGCCCCGAGATGGATTCCAGGACCGAGCCACCACGTCACTGAAACCCTCGTGAGTGAGCCAGGCAGCCTGGAGCTTAAACTGAGCACCTGAAACCCATCTGATCCCCATATTCGTGCAAATCAGGAGGGGCGTATGGTCTGAACAAATTCTCGGTAGATGCTGAACAGAGGCATCCGGGAAGCGCTGCCTCCACTCCACGGTACACAAGGCCCGATCAAGTCGGGCACCTTTTGCTAAGCAGGTGTCCGGCCCTCGAACCCAAGTAAGGCGAGATCCGCTAAATCTCATATCCACCAAGCCTTCACTGTTAATCCAATTGACAAAATCCGTGCTCCTTTGCGATGAGTAGGCGGTGTAGTAAAGCGTCTCTGCTTGGTAGGTGACCGCATTGAAATCCCTGGCTACCATCCATGCACCACAGATCCCTCTTTTGATAGTTTGGAGTTCGTCCCATAAGCATTTCCGTAAATGGTGTACCGGGCTGCCATAAACTATCGCGAGGTGCCACGGTTCGTCGGTCCCTTCTCGCACCTGCAAAAGAACAAACTGCGGGTGAGTGTATACCACATCAATGAGTAAAGGGCCACTCTAGAAGATCCAGATGCCCCCACTAAATCCCACGGCCTTAACTCGAACCCACTCATCGAATCCAAGTTTGGAACAAATGGTGTTCGCGTGTGAGCCCGACACCTTTGGCTCCACCAGTCCGACCAGGTTCGGCTTGCGAGTTTTAATTAGGTGCTTGAGGACGCGGTGGAAGTCTCTTCCTCCCGCGCCTTGACAATTTCAGATGAAGTTTATCATAAAACCTGCAAAAAAGGAAGCAAAATCCCAAACAAAACCCAAAGAAACAACAACACGAACACACGGTTAACCCAAGGAGATGCCATCGGCTATTTCGCCGGCGCCTCCTCCTGGCTTGCCCTCAACCTCCATGACTGCATCTCCATCTTTGTCCATGGCGTCCGGATCATCGTTATGGTGTTCTCCTCCGTCGACCGCGGCCGCCGAGGTCCTGGGGTTCTTGTTTTGGACTATGGTTACTCGCTCCGTATGGATAACCTTGCCTCCTTGTGAACCCCGAACCACAACATGCTCGTCTTCCTCCGCCGCTCAGCGAGGGCCCCCCTTCTGAACAATTGCCATAGTGCCAAACCCACAGCCTTATCTTTTCCTTTTGTTTCCCTCACATGTCCACTCTATTTCTGATTTTCTATTTGCTTCACATTAACCACCACATTAGCCCGACGTTGTTTCCAGGCGGTATTTGTGTTCTGAATCCCAAGCCCATCTCCGGCATTGGTAGCCGCCCGTTGGTCCACTTGATGCGTGTCTCTTTGGTTGTCTCCCCTACTTTCACCGTCCAGGATTCCCGCTAAATCTTCTCCCAAGCTTCCGTCATCCTGGAGTTTGTCCAGAGGCTGAAAACGGGAGTGGCTTTAGTTCGCCGGGATCCCGTCCCTACGTTGCCTGCCAGAGTACGTTCGTTGCCGGCGTCGTCTCTCCGGCTTAGTGACCACCATCCACGAACTGTAGGGCTTCGTCGTAACTTCATCCATCTCGGCGGTCTTCGCAGCAGTTGGTTTCTCCACTAATGCGTGACTCTGATCAGCCTCAGCGGTTGTTCCATCACTCCTTGATGCCGGACATGATTCAGCACTGTGGCCATACATCCCGCATTGGAAGCATACCAGATGAAGGCCTTCGTACGCTATGAACTGGCATCGTCCTTCCAGCGTGAATTTTGACAACAGGGGCTTCGTTATGTCGACTTCTACGTAGATCCGGGCGAAGCGTCCTCTGGAAGCATGGCTTGTAGCGTGGTCGACTCTCACTAGCCGTCCGATGTTATCACCGATCTTCCTAAGGAAGACGCCGCTGTAGTACTCGATAGGCAAGCATGGGAAACGGACCCAAACTAGGACTTTCTCGGTTGTATCCGCCAAAGGATCAAAATTGGGTTCCCATTCCTTGACGATCAGATAGTGGTCTAAGATCATCCACGGTCCCTCGAACTTGGCAAAGTTGAGATCGTCGATGGATCCGAATTTGACAAGGAAATAGTCGTTATCAATGGCCACCATCTCAAAGCTCCCTTTCGGTCTCCATAATGCGCAAAGCTTACGCATCAGGAAGGAGTATCCCACTTGCTTACCCCAAACCTTGATGATGAGGGCTTGCCTCCACGACGCTCTGATTGCCTCCTTCTCCTTCCTGGTGAGTCTGATAGTCGGGCATAATGGATCGTCCGGTTCATCTCATTGGTCATCATCGGAGTAACAATCATCTCCATCCAGATCTCCCAATGTTAGATCAATGTTCGCCATCATGTTCCCTGCTACCGCATATCTGAACGATAAAGGTGGCGGATCACGTCGTGGCCGGTCCTGTGGGATTTCGCACTCGCCCATCTCAGCAAGTGGTGTTTCCGGCACCACCTCGATGGCCTTCTCAGAGTTCGCCGTCGGATCACCGGCGCCACGCTTGGACTTTTTCGTGCTCCGTTCGAGAAGATCTTGATCTTCCGACGAGCGTAGATTCAAAAGTTTTCCAGTTAAATGACCTATTTGACCCATATCCATAGTTTTATTATCCAATCAAAAGGAGAAAATAACATTATTCGTGGTATAGATTGATTTTTCAATTATTTACAATATATAAATTTAATTCTTAAATTTCTCATCTCCAATGTTAGGGGTTTGTTTAAATTTCTAGAGCCAAACTCATCACCTCAATAATAAAAACATAAAGATTAACTCTACATTGTAAATAATTGAGAAAGTATAAATTATATATTATCTTATAAAGAATTATAATGGACTGTTTGGCAGGATGAAATTGCAATTCCATTCCTACCAAACTCCATGGAATTACAATGTCATGGTTTGGTTGGAGGGAATTACAATTCCATGGAATTGCAATTCCCTTCAACCATGAATTGCAATTCCACACTTTTGTGAAATTGTAATTCCATGGTAATGACTATTTTATCATTCTTTTGATTATTATATTTATTATTATACAAAGTCATTTTAGTCTTTGTTCTCTTTTTTTTTTTTTTTTTTTTTTTTGAAGGGATTCACCTCTAGATAGCAATTAGAATTTTGATGGAATGAAGTGTGATTTTCTCATACTCATACATTTGGTTTTGTATATGGCAATGTTTATATGGTGAAAACTCATTTTCATATGGGCCTACACCTACTCCTTTTCTTACTCCAAATTAGGAAAAATTAAAAGCAAGAGCTGACTTTGTGCACATGCAATCTGAAATGTGAACATGATCTCCTTCCCCTCCATCCCCTCTACAGACTAGAGAGGGATTCGGAATTAGACAGACTGTCATTTTCTGTCAGTGCAGAAGTCCCAATCTCCACAACAAATTGCATATTTTTCTTCCAACCAGACAAGACATTAGAACAACAAAATACTTATAAAAAAAATGAGAATTTTTAAAAATATAAACAGCAGCATTACAGCTCAAACCCATTATTGCCATATAAGCTCGCTTCTTCACTTCTTCTTCTTCTCACCTCACCCACCACCCCTTCCCTCTTTCTCCTCTAGTCCTGAACAGTCTTGGTTGCAGAAAGAAAGCTCAGAAATTTAGCATCGAGACTTGCGGATCTCCGGTACCCAGATCCGCATTTCGCATTCTTTATCGGAATTGCGCGTGGTATAGGGGGCGGAAATCGAATACCCAGAAATGTACGGCAGAGATCCGTGGGGTGGGCCGTTGGAGATCAACGCCGACTCGGCCACCGATGACGAGCGGAGCCGGAATTTGCACGAGCTGGACCGGGCGGCGCTGTCGCGGTCGCTGGACGAGACGCAGCAGAGCTGGCTGCTGGGGCCGACGGAGCAGAAGAAGAAGAAGTACGTGGATCTGGGGTGCATAATTGTGAGCCGGAAGGTGTTCAAGTGGACTGTTGGGTGCATCATTACCGCCGCCCTTTTGGCCGCCTTCATCACCATGATCGTCAAGCTTGTGCCGCGCCACCACCCTCACGACCCGCCGCCGGATAACTACACCCTCGCTCTTCACAAGGCCCTCATGTTCTTCAATGCTCAGCGTTGTAAGTGTGACCTAACATTCTGTTAATCTATCACTGACTCAGTTTGTCACTGGAACTGGGTTATGCTTTAATGTCTCTTTATATTTGCACCTAATTAGTGCCTAAGTGAATCATTCATTGGTTTGCAGGTCTAATGAATTAAATTCATTTATCTTCAATTTAGTAATTAACTTGATTTGGACTTTAGTTTGTGAATTTGATGAATATTATTGGGAATATATTAATGTTTGAGATTGATCTATAAATATGATGATTTTTTTTTTCATCTTTTAAGTCTTCTTTAAGAAGTGGTCAATTTGAAAACAGTAGAATCATTATATTTTCTAAGGATCTTGCTTTGAGGATGGGTGCAGCAATAGTGTCTTTGAGTTTGGTTAACAGTATCTCCAGATACAAGTCAGATTTTAGGGGGAGAATGGAATGATTTCAATGTTGTTTCATATATTATTGTTGTCTTAGCCTACTAGTTATTAGATCTTCTTCGCTTTGGAGTAAATCCCGATATTGATTGCTCTTTGCAGCTGGAAAACTACCCAAGCACAATAATGTATCATGGAGGGGTAATTCCGGGTTGCAAGATGGCAAGTCGGATGATGCAACGATGTTTAAAGATTTGGTTGGTGGGTACTATGATGCTGGGGACGCGATCAAGTTTAATTTCCCTCAATCTTTTGCCATGACCATGCTGAGTTGGAGCGTGATTGAATACAAAGCAAAATATGAAGCCACCGGTGAGCTTAACCATGTTAAAGAAATAATTAAGTGGGGTACCGATTACCTCCTCAAAACCTTCAATTCCTCGGCTGACACCATTGATCGAGTTGTTGCACAGGTAATGTAAATGTTACGGAGTAATAAACAACAATTCTTTTACTATTATTGCTTTTCGATATTTTTTAGCTGGATCTTCAGTTCTGGGTATGGATAGTATATCTAAGATAGCTTGCTTGATGACTGCTTTTACTGATTTTTCTTACGCTCTGGTCTGATTTGTCGAAATATTTCTAAAGTATGTGGGTGGGGTCTTATGTTTATCTGTTAGGTTGGATCTGGGGATACTTCAGGAGGGAGTACAACACCGAATGATCATTATTGTTGGATGCGCCCTGAAGACATGGACTATCCTCGGCCTGTGACTGAGTGCCACAGTTGCTCTGATCTTGCTGCGGAGATGGCTGCTGCTCTTGCATCTGCATCCATTGTATTTAGGGACAACAAAGCCTATTCGCAAAAACTTGTTCATGGTGCTCGGACCCTCTTCAAGTTTGCTAGGGATCAACGTGGCAGGTACAGTGTCGGTAGTGAAGCTGCAACTTTCTACAACTCCACTGGCTACTGGGATGAATTTATCTGGGGTGCCACCTGGCTGTATTACGCAACTGGAAATTCTTCCTATCTTCAACTCGCGACAACTCCAGGTCTAGCTAAGCATGCGGGTGCGTTTTGGGGAGGGAAATTTTACGGTGTGATGAGCTGGGATAGCAAGCTTGCTGGAGCTCAAGTAAGTAGATAATTCTTCTTTCTAACTCGTCTTGTTTGAGTTTGTGATTTCGTTTCTTTTCTTATTGAGCACTCAATTTCTTCGAGAATTTTAGTAATCGAACAAATAGTTGCTTTGCTATCATTTTAAACTATTGCAATTGCCAATGACCTTGTGGTCTAGTGGCACCAAGTTGATCTCCTATATGGGAGGTTGTGGTAGGTTGAGAAAGTAATTATGAACAGATACTGCATTGTAACAGTGTCAGTAGTACTCAAAAAAAAAAAAACAATTGCAATTGAAGTGATGGTTGTTCGTTTTGTTATTAGGTCCTCCTGAGTCGAATGAGATTATTCTTGAGCCCCGGATATCCTTATGAAGAAATTTTGATGACATTCCACAACCAGACAAGCATAGTCATGTGCTCCTACTTGCCATACTTCACCTCATTTAACAGAACGAAAGGTAAAATTGATTGATTTAACATTTGGGCTTATAGAGTTTGAAGTTCCTGTAGAATTGCGGTATAGAGTTTTAAATTTACGGGCTTGTTGCAGGAGGTTTGATACAGCTCAACTACGGGGCTCCTCAGCCTCTTCAGTATGTAGTAAACGCAGCATATTTGGCTACCTTGTTTGCTGACTACCTCGATGCTGCTGATACTCCCGGATGGTACTGTGGACCCAATTTCTACTCTATTGATGTCCTCCGCAAATTTGCTGCAACACAGGTAATGTCATGTAAAATCTCAACTCTAATTTCGACCGGGACTTCTTCTCTTGATGGTAGAATATTTAATTTTATACCCAGAAGGACGATATATCGATTCTTTTATGTTTATGCACATAATGCTAGTTTTGGGGTGACGAGGGAAACCCACAGCCACCACTCGAGGGTGTGCACTGGGTAAATCCCGCCTTGTGACTTGGGAAATGACCACTATGAGGTAAACCAGCTTAGGGTGTCTATAGTTGACTGGCTCAAACCAAGAAGGCTGGGATTTGAACTCGTGACCTTGTGGTTAACACATAATGCTAGTTGATATGCTCACAATGTTGTATTTCTTCTGTGACTTAAATTCCCAGATCGAGTATATCCTTGGCAAGAACCCGAAAAAGATGAGTTACGTCGTGGGATTCGGGAACCACTATCCAAAACGTGTTCACCACCGTGGCGCATCAATCCCTAAAAACAAGGTCAAGTACAACTGCAAAGGAGGATGGAAATGGAGGGATTCCAAAAAGCCAAATCCAAATACCCTTGTTGGAGCCATGGTTGCTGGTCCTGACCTACGCGACGGTTTCCAGGATGTCCGGACTAACTACAACTATACCGAGCCAACGCTAGCCGGCAATGCTGGTTTAGTGGCTGCCCTTGTGGCTTTATCGGGAGCAGGAGGAGGCGGGGGAAGAAGCGTCGGAATCGACAAGAATACTATGTTTTCTGCAGTGCCTCCTATGTTCCCCACCCCACCTCCCCCACCAGCACCTTGGAAGCCTTAAAACAATACCCTTTGGGTAATTGGGTTATACTCACTTCATTTCCACTTTTTGATTGATACAGGAATGAAATCTGACACCATTACACTTGAGCCAATACAAAAATATAAGAAACACAATGGGTGGGTGGGTGCATCTGAGTGTGTGTGAATCGTTGGTGTTGTATACAGGGAGGGATCTATGTATATAACAAACAGACCAGTTATGTGGTGTATTCTTTGAATTTTGAAACACATAAATATAAATTCCAAAATGTGTCATTTTCTTCATCATAAATTGTCATACCATTTGCTTCACCAAATAATTCTTCATTTCTGTTGGAGAAAGGTGTACCATTCCATTACTTTACCACTCAATACTTCTTGGAATGTTAGCTAACACATCCAACACCCTCCTTTAAAGTACAACTTAGTACCAGCAGGTCACTAGTTCAGTAGGTTGTATTTTGAGAAACGATTAATGTTTGAATCTTGACAACAATTGTGTGGGAACTAGAGATTATGTCAAAAGTGGACAGATTTTTTTTGTGCACTGACATTTGGCTCTATCTGCTAAGCTACTGAATTACTGTGATTTACATATTTATAAATACTATGTTGGGTCAGAATGTAGGGACAATTGAGATTGGAGATTCTAACATTTTGATAAGAAAAGTACAACTCACTAATTGGTGACAACACTTGTTGGAATGTTAAGTAACACATCCAAACAAAATCCTGTGAAGTACAAGTATAAACAGTCATAGATTTGTTGGAATGTTAGCTAATAGATCCGATGAATAGCGTGTAAAGTACAACTACCAACCCACCGCTAGAGAGGGACCAACAATAGCGTGTAAAGGCAATCTGCATCTCGGTATTGCAATCTGTCCGGCAATGTCAGACCCACCTTGCCTATTAGCAATACCTTATCGACATTTTGTGGTTCTTTGGAATGTTTTTTTTTTTGAATATGTTCTTTGGAATGTTAAATCGTTATATCACGGACAATGTGCACTTTGATCCAATATATAATTTAACTTCATAATATACAGAAATTTATGTTCATAATGCACTGAATTTATGTTTATAATACACATACACATGAATATGATATAATGAACATTAATTTTGTGCATTATGAACATAGATTCTGTGTATTATGTTAAGTGTTTGTCTTCATTATATTGTGTTTATGTGTATGTGCATTATGAACATAAATTATGTACATTATGAACATGAATTTTGTACATTATAAAGTCAAATTATGTGTATTGAACCAAGGTCCACAGTTCTACAATATAAATTGCCTGGAATGTTTTTCACTTTTTTGCAGACATAAAAATTTGAGGATAGTTTTTTGATAAATAGGAAGTGAAGTTTTTCATTAGGGTCTGTTTAAAAAAAAAAAAAAAAGACTTTTGAAAACTATTTTTTTTAAAAAACGAGTCATTTTTTAAAAAATATAATAAATCAAGAGTTTTGAATGAAGGGAAAAATTCAACCTTGCCTTTCATTAATAAAAATATAGCACATATATACAAAGAGAGTTGTCCTCTGCTCCAAGAAAGCTAATGACAGAAAAGGAAAAATACAAAGCCAAGGAAATAAAATACCAAAAGATCATGAAAGAAAAGGAAACGAATATTTACAACCAAAAATAACATTGCTAATATTCTATATTTTAATACCCCCCTCAAGTTGGAGCACGAACATCAAGAATGCCCAATTTGCTTAAAAGAAACTTAAACTGAGGCTTGCCCAAGGCCTTGGTCAAAACATCTGCCACTTGCATAGAAGTATGAACATAAGAGGGTTGAATATTACCAGACTGAACTTCATCACGAATAAAATGACAATCGACTTCAATGTGTTTGGTTCGCTCATGAAAGACTGGATTACGAGCGATGTGCAATGCCGCTTGGCTATCACAATACAATTGCATTGGTGTAGCATGAGAAATACCAAGATCAAGGAGAAGTGCTTTTAACCATTTCAATTCACTTGTTGCCGCAGCCATTGCACGATACTCAGCTTCAGCAGAGGAGCGCGAGACAGTCTGTTGCTTCTTAGTTTTTCATGAAATCGGGGAAGTTCCTAGAAGAACAAAATAAGCAGTCAATGAGCGACGAGTGAGCGGGCAACCAGCCCAGTCAGCATCACAATAGGCATATAGACGGAGATTACAATCAGCCCGAAAGAAAAGCCCCTGCCCTGGATTAGCCTTCAAATAACGCACCACACGAAGTGCAGCTTCCTAGTGAGGAACCTGCGGTTTATGCATGAATTGTGCGAGAATGTGCACACTATAACAAATACCTGGACGAGTAACTGTCAAGTATATAAGCCGACCAACGAGCCTCCTATAACTGGTAGGATCGGTCATCTCTTTTCCATTAGCTAAAGCCAATCGATGGTTTTCCTCTAGTGGGACAGCAGCAGGTTTTGCACCCAAGAGACCAGTCTTTTCAAGGATATCAAAAGCATATTTTCGTTGGCTAAGGAAAATACCGGATTCGTTGCGAGCGACTTCGAGACCAAGAAAGTATTTTAATGTGCCCAAATCCTTCATATGAAAGCAATTACTCAAGTAGAGCTTGAAATGATGCACAGCAGTATCGTCATTGCCATAGATAACGAGATCATCTACAAAGATAAGAATATATAGTTGCACACCATTGTGATTGAGAGTGAATAATGAGTAATCAGAAGATGACTGGTGAAACCCATAATTAGTGAGAGAGTCTGCCAACTTTGCAAACCAACACCGAGGAGCTTGACGAAGACCGTACAAAGACTTTCGGAGACGACAAACTTTGTTCGGGCATGAGGACACAAACCCAGGGGGGAGCTTCATGTAAATTGTCTCTGTTAAATCACCATGCAAGAAAGCATTACTCACATCCATTTGGTAAAGAGGCCATCCACGAGCAACAGCAACAGCGAGAAATGCACGAACTGTAACCATTTTAATGGTGGGTACAAATGTTTCATTGTAATCAACTCCTTCGATTTGTCGATCTCCTCGGACAACAAGTCGTGCTTTATAGCGCTCAATCGATCCATCTGCATTGTATTTAACCTTGTAAACCCACTTGCTGTCAATGGCTTTATGACCAGGAGGGAGATCCTCAAGTATCCAAGTGTCATTGTCTTCAAGTGCCTGAAGCTCTTGGCGCATGGCCTCTCACCAATGAGGAGCTTGTACAGCCTCAGAGAATAATGTGGGCTCATGCTCAGCAGTAATTGCTGCAAGGTAATGCCGATGTGCCAAAGAAAATTTATCATAATTAACAAAGTGAGATATGGGATGTACCGTACCTGAAGACGTTTTGGAAGAGGTGGAACATGGCAAGGGGGATATGCGACTAGCAGAGTGCGTGACATAATCATGGAGATATGTAGGAACCCGTTTTTCCCGTTTTCCACGACCAAGGTTCTCATCATCATCACTAGAAGCAGAGTTAGAAGTGGGTAAGTTCGCTGCATTCATATTAGTCACTTCATCTGTCAAGGACACTTCTGATTCAGCGATTTGCTGGAAGATTATTAGAAAAATCATCCCCAAACCCATTTTCAGTAATTGTCTCTGGAAGGTCATTGGAAAGATCATCAACGTATTCAATCATGGGGGACATACGATGCTTAGTAAGTGAAGAAGAAAAGGGAAATATGGTCTCAAGAAACTGGACATCCCGTGAAACAAATCGCTCCCCACTTTCCAAATCACGCAAATACCACCCTTTCTTGCCGTATGGATAACCAATAAACACACACTTACGACTACGACTTGCAAATTTATCTTTAATTCGAGCATCATTCTTCGCATAACACAAGCACCCAAAAGTACGAAGAAGAGAATAATCAGGTGAGCGCCCAAAAAGAATGTCAAAAGGGGTTTTACCTTTGAGCAATTTAGTGGGTGTCCGATTAATAAGATAGCCTACAGTGAGAATGCATTCTCCCCAGAACTCAATTGGCAAATTAGCTTGAAAACGCAACGCTCTTGCCACATTTAGAATATGTCGATGCTTTCTCTCCACTCTACCATTTTGTTGGGGTGTTCCTACGCACGAAGTCTGATGTATAATCCCAACACTATCAAAATAACTTTTCAAACATGTGAATTCAGTCCCATTGTCTGTCCGAACAAATTTAATTTGTTTGCCAAACTGACGGTGAACCAAGGCAACAAAATTTTTTAGGATCCCGAGAACTTCACCCTTAGTCCGGATTAAATAAACCCACACAGAACGGGAAAAATCATCAACAATTGTCAAGAAATAATAAGCACCGCATAGAGCAGGAACACAATAAGCACCCCACAAATTCACAATGAACTAACTCAAAAATTGAACTTGCTTTATTAGAACTTAAAGAAAAAGGTTCACGAGTTTGTTTGGCCTGGAAACAAACTTCACAGTGTCTATTATTCAAACTACTACCATCTTCAAAATTAGGAAGAAAATTCATAACTGTAGGTGATGGATGCCCCAACCTTTGATGCCACAACTTTGCTTGCGATAAACTGAAAACATTATTAATTTGCATGGATTCTGCCTTCTTCAAGAAGTAAAGTCCCCCCCGTTGTTCACCCGTTCCCATCAGCGTCTTCGAGGTGCGGTCCTGAATAACACAAGATTTGTCAGTGAATTGAGCATGATAGGGCGAATCAGCCAAGAGTTGAGATATAGAAATTAAATTGCAGTTTAATTTAGGCACAAATAAAACTTTCTGCAGCCTCAATTTTTCACCAAGCACCACAGTGCCTTGCTTTGCTGCATAAGTTTCTTCTCCATTCGGCAACCCAACAGGACATGGTTCAATTGTCCTCACATTCGTCATATGATTGAGTGTCCCTGTCATATGGTTTGACGCTCCGGTGTCAATAATCCATGGTAAGTTACCTGAAAGACGTTGGTTGGTTTCAGGTTTATGGACACTAAGAGCTGCCAAGAGAGCACTCCATTGTTCCTTTGAAAGTCCTCCAATAGCAGTCTGTTCTGTATTTGTCATCGAGACAGCTTGAGAAGGGATTTCACCTACAGCAGCTTGGGCTACATTGACTCTTGGTGTTGCACTTTTTCCTCGTCCAATCTGTTGTTGAGTGCCCCGACTTCCACTTCGACCATTAGATCGTGGTCTAGCACCCCACCAATCAGGGTATCCAATGAGTTGAAAACATCCGCCTGTATCATGCCCGGTGTGGTGGCAGTGTCCACATGTCACTCCATCCTTTTTGCCCCCCCCCCCCCCCCCCCCCCCCCTAGCGTAACACGATTTCCTTGTCCTGCTCGCATTACATAGCTTACGGGGTCTGAACGATTGTCATGTGTACTCACTATCGTCCTTGCTTGTTCATCTTGAACAACCATATGATAAGTTCGATTGAGATTAGGTAATGGGTCTTGACTCAGAATATTGGAACGAATGGTATTGTACCGTTCTCCATCAAGGCCCATCAAGAACTGATGAACTCGTTCTTCTTCCTTTCGTTTCTCCAATTGGATGCTCAGACTGCATTTACACCCTCCACATGTACATACAGGCACCCGTTCAAGGTTGTTGAGTTCGTCCCAGAGCAATTTGAGACGTCCAAAGTAATTTGCAATTGACTCACCATTCTGCCTACAATTTGCTAAGGCTGAACGCAATTGTTGAATATGAGGCCCGTTAGCAATTGAGAATTGTTGTTTTATGTCGTCCCATAGATCCGCTGCTTTTTCTTTAAGTGTTATAGTAGACCGTAGAGTAGGCTCAATAGTATTCAAAATCCATGAGACAATCATGGAGTTTACTGTCCACCAATCTTCCAAACCTGGTGAGTTTTCTGCAGGTTGTTGAATGCTTCCATCTGCAAAGCCAAACTTCTTTGGCCCTAAGAGCTATGCGAATGGCCTTCACCCATTCATCATAGTTTTCTCCTTTCAATTGAACCTGGGTGATTAGACTACCCGGGTTTTCATTGGAGTTCAAAGCATAAGAAGAAGCTACGTAGGTGATGATAGCAGCCTTCTTCTCACTCTCTTTTTCTTTGTTTGAAGGCCCTGATGCCATAATAAATCAAGAGTTTTGAATGAAGGGAAAAATTCAATCTTGCCTTTCATTGATAAAAATATAACACATATATACAAAGAGGGTTGTCCTCTGCTCCAAGAAAGCTAATGACAGAAAAGGAAAAATACAAAGCCAAGGAAATAAAATACCAAAAGATCAGGAAAGAAAAGGAAACGAATATTTACAACAAAAAATAACATTGCTAATATTCTATATTCTAATAAAATATTTTCATTTTTCGTGTTAAGCTTCACTGCAGAAAACTATATTTAAGTGTTTGGTTCATTTTGTAGAAAATGAATAGAATTATATAATAAACATTTTGAATATAAAAGTATTTATAATAATATTATTTATATAATAAAAAAAAACTAGTTTCTGGCGAAAACTAAACTTATGGTTTCTGCCGAAAACCTTGTTCTGAGTGTGGCGGAAAATGACTAGATTTTTTCCAATCAACAGGAAATGTTTTTCATTGACTGAATTTTTCAATTGCATCCAAACACTTGAAATCCGAAAAATGATTTTCAGAAATTATTTTCTGGTTTCCAAACACAGACTTAATTTTTTCTCATTCAAGAGCGAGATTTTTTTGGGTCCTAGCTGTGTAAGAAAAAACATGCGCAAACAATGAGTGTAATGCACTGTCATGCCATGCTGGGCGAGTGAAACTACTTTATTTTTAAACTTTTTTTTTTGTTCATAAATGTTTTCTTTTCTTTTTCTCCACTTTATTTTCTCTCTACCTCCTCTCTCTTACATGACATGCAAAAAATCAAAGAAAAAACTCAACTAATGAACTTGCTCTTATATGGTGCATTTTAGGGGGGGGGGGGGGGGGGGGGTGTTGGTTCATGGAATCTCAAACATAAAAATTTGAGGATAGGTTTTTTGATAAATAGGAAGTGGAGTTTTTCTTTAGGACCTGTTTGGAAAACAAAAAAAATAAAAATAAAAAAGACTTTTGAAAAATATTTTTTTTTAAAATGAGTCATTTTTTAAAAATAATTTTATTTTCCATGTTAGATTGCATTGTAGAAAACTATCTTTAAGTGTTTGGTTCATTTTGTAGAAAATGAGTAGAATTATATAATAAATATTTTATTTAGAATATAAAAGTATTTATAATAATATTATTTATATATTAAAAAAAAAAAACTAGTTTCCGGCGAAAACCAAACTTATGGTTCCTGTCGGAAACCTTGTTCTGAGTGTGACAGAAAATGACTAGATTTTTCCCAGTCAACGAGAAATATTTTTCGTTGACTGAATTTTTCAATTGCATCCAAACACTGGAAACCCAAAAAATGATTTCCAGAAATTATTTTCTGGGTTTCCAAACACAATCTTAATTTTTTTCTCATTCAAGAGCGAGATTTTTGTGGGTCCTAGCTGTGTAAGAAAAAAACATGCGCAAACAGTGTGTGAAATGCACTGCCATGCCATGCTCGGCGCGTGAAACTACTTTATTTTTATTTTTATTTTTTGGTCATAAATGTTTTCTTTTCATTTTCTTTTCTTTTTATCCACTTTATTTTCTCTCTATCTTCTCTCTCTTACATGACATGCAAAAAATCAAGGATAAAATCCAACTAATGAACTTGCTGATCATAGAATCAGATTGTGCTAAAGCCATCTCCATAATCAATAGCAATGATGATTATGGGGGAAATGCCAGTAATCTGATAACAATTTGCAAAGAGGCAAAAAATAGGCAGTGGGAGATTATCTTTATACATGCACCACGTGAGCAGAATAAGGTGGCAGACATCTTGGCGAAGCAAGCTTATGAGTATGACGCAAATAACACATGGTTCGAGCACCCTCCTAGAGCGATTCAGCAAGCCATAAGGGAAGATGAACTTGGCCTTTTGGGCAGCACAAACTTGGTGAGGATTAGCTATTAATCCTGGATATACTCCTCCTTCTTTCGGAAAAAATCCAACTAATGAACTTGCTCTTATATGGTGCATTTTAGGGGGCTTTGGTTCACGGAATCTTAGATTACCCAAGTAATAGGATTATCTCCAGGAAGGTAATGCGAGGTTTTGGGAATGTAAGATTACTTGATGTGTTTGGTTAAAGTTGTAGAAATGTAATTTTAACTTGTTTGGTTGAAGGTTATATTGCATCAATTACTTAAATGCCATCATAAAAAATTGAAAGGTGTAAATTGCTAAGTCTTTTTTTTTTCTTTTTTTTTTTTTCCATAATTCAAAATTTAACAAGATGCTTATACTACTACTGATGATGATGAAATGCGTACTATAAAGATGCAATTCAACCATTGATGGCAATTCACAGACCATCCAACACCAACAAAATTTAAATTAAAAAATCTACAAACATGCAATTCTTGCTAATTGATTGTCTTGTTACATAATTTGTGATAAGTAGCAAAATATTACAATTGTAATCTACTTCATTTCACACCAACAAAATAACAGCCTCATATCCATACAGATTACAGACTATCCAACAAAATTTACATTAACATATCCATTATTTGCACACAAAATAACAGCCACATATCCATATTAATTCACAAAAAAAAGGGCTACAAGGACAACAAGTAGTCTACACACCATCTCCACCATGAAAATCTTAGGTTGGATGATATGCATTGATCTCAGATAGTTGTTTCACAACATAGTGGCTCCTAAGCTCCTTTGAGAAAGCAAAGAACGTATCAAGCTTGTGTGTATCTTTCAGAATATGTTCACCAACATTCATGACCTCTTCTGTAGAAAATCCTGGTAGTTGCATTATGTCTTCAAAAATCTTCATCTTCCTAGTGTTGTTCTCAGATTCATTATGGAAATATGTTGTCACATGTTTTTATGCACCTACATAATCATGGATCTCTGCCACGAAGTCATTAAAGTCATCATCACTTCTTGATCTTTTCTTGCTAGTATGTTTTTTTTTTTTAATTTATTTTTATTGGCAGTGTTTGTGGAGGGACATGAAGATAAGTCAGCCTTATCAACATTATTTCTTGCCTCATTCTGACCCAATCTTTCATCTTTTCCAAATTCCCAATCCACTTGGAAATCATTATCATTGTCTCCGTTTTGGTCTAGTTCTTTTGCTACATCAGTTGTGATTTCTGCACCAATTCTTGAAGCATGATCATTTCCCCAAACAGTCATCAACTCATCTAAATATGGGAATGGTTTGTTCCTTAATCCAATTGTAGTAGGATGACTCTAAAAAAAAAAAAAAAAAAAAAAAAAAAAAAGTAAATATACTAATAATAATTCAGAATAAAAAAAAAATATTTTTCCTTCTTTTTTCCTTTCTTTTCTCCATTGAATTGCAATTCAACAAAATAAGAATAACCAAACATGATAATTTGAATGACCAAAGAATTATACAGTAATTGAATTGCAACTATATCCAACCAAAATATTTTATAAGTTTTTTTTTTTTTGAATACTACTGACTCTATTACATTGTAGTATCTGTTGGGAGAGGTGTCATTACATGCCATCTAGTCCATATTTCACTGGAAAGGCTATTGGTTGAATTGGGTTCGAAGAAATCATAGGTGGTATGAGTGTAATTTAACAAACCTGAGGGGTTCAGGTGAAATTATCCGAGTAAATTATTTATTGTATTCAAGTCCCCGCCCCGCCATAACTGTAATCCCACTGAACTCTCCCATATGCCATGCTCTCTCTCAGTGGAGAACTGAAACTCCGGACAACGCTGTTGAAATGATCCTCCATTCCGATTCTCTATACAGAAAACTCCATTTTCTTCACATTATCTGTTATGAGCCCCAACACAAAGCAGAGTTTATGGAGAAGCAAAGCTCCGAAATCTCCTGTTGAAATGATCCTCCATTTCTATCATGCATATCCAAATTACGATTCATTTTTTCTCATAATCTGTTAGTATCGAGGAGCATCCTCTTCGTTCGTGTTTCCGGACATAAAAATGCTGAAGTTAAGGGCTTTCCGGGCATCGAATGAAAAGATTAATAAGATTCACGTGCACCCGACGCATCCCTGGCTCGTCACGGCCGATGTGTCGGATCACGTATCCGTTTGGAATTGGGAACACCGCCAGGTTCGTATAATTGTGATTTTGAATTAAAATTGGTTTTTTTCCCCCTACGATTTTGAGATTTTTGTCAATTCTCGAATTATACCATCATACCATGAGTTACCTAACTGAGGAGCCTGGGCGGAAGAATCTTGTTTGAAATGAATGTCAGTACTAGCTGAAATGTTACTAGTCGAGTTTGAAATATAATATTAATATTTGATGTTGTAATGAATCACGTTTGAACTAAATACGCAATGCATATTCCGAAGCCATGTGTGACTGTGTTCATTGTATATCGATAATCGATTGTTATTAATTTGGTTTTTGGCCATTAGGTGATTTATGAGCTGAAAGCTGGTGGTGTTGATGAGAGGCGATTGGTTGGGGCAAAGCTCGAGAAGCTGGCTGAGGGTGAATCAGGTAGGATATAGTGCTATAGACTTATAGCAGGAGATATTATGCCAACTGTTGTAAATTTCTAAATTCAAGTATGTTGATAATATGTTGACTTTATTGTATTTATCGGATGAGCTGATATTCTAATAAGATACCAACTTCACTTTAGGTATCTTTAGAGGAGATGATGGTACATGTAGAAGCAATAGTATAGATAGTATATATAGTTACATGTACTTTCATCTAATAATCATTATCAACCGCCTAAATATTGTTTTTACTTTTAATGGAAATAATGATATTTGTCATTGCAAAACTTGTTGATTGAAATGTTGCTGAGATATATAGAAATTAGAATTGTAAAGGAGGTCTAAAATCTGTAATTTTAGTATGTAACTAAAAAATGGCATTTTATTCTGTTTGTACGTCTGCCCATCCAATGGTGGGATGAAGTGTCTAATTCAGAATCTGAACGGAAGCAGCAATGGCTTTCAATTCCATTCCATCATATAAAACATCTGAATGAAATCAAATTCTAGAAATGATGTCCT